GGCGACCACGCGCGATTTATTCAGGGGGCCCGGCCCGCTCACACCCTCGCCGTGCCAGCCAGAGCCACGGCGTCCACAGCTCCGCCCGAGCCGCGGCCCCGCTCCCTGCGCTGCCAGCAGACATCACCAGTAAACAGAGTCCTGAGGTCAAATCTTGGTCCTGCAGAAGTGGAAGAGCTTAGCTGTGTGTTTAAATGGATTTCTTATTTAAAAAAGACTATTTTCTAACAATTTTTATTCTACTGAGACAGGATTTGGACTGACCTGATCAGAAGTGCCTTGTGAGACAGGATTTTTCCTGTCATTCTCAGGAAAGGAATCCTTGTTCTTGAAAAAAAAATGTTCGAAATATTGATGGGAATAATTCTAATTAAAACTAAATATGGCAGATGAATCATTCTATTCATGCCTTAAACACAGATACCAGTAAATTAATAATTAAAAATATTATTGCTGCAAGTAATAGCCAATGAAAAGTAGCTTTAGTGTAAGTAAAGAAAAAATTCACTTGTATATCATTGAAATTTTCTTTATAATTATCATTGACAGGATATGTATAGAAAGTTAACGTTTTATGGCATTACTAGAGACTTAAATTCACACTCCACTTAAAAGAATAAATGTATTTGGTATAAATGAGGTTCACCTACTCTTGATCTTTATGTATAAGCATTTCTATTTATTTTTTTAAAAGTCTTGATTGCAAAATTAAGTATTACACACAGTAAATCATAATAAAAGTGCTATTTACAAAGAATTCCAGTATGTTGATATTGTTGACTTCACAGGAGTAACAATGAAACCCTGCTGAATGCCTTTAAGCATTACTGGCTTCAAATTTCAAGACTGGCTAAAATTTTTTTGGTCAAAATAAGAATCACGGTAAAAGCCAAAAATGTCACCAAGAATTAAAATCGAAAATGTTAGTAAACAGCAACTGACTTATTCTGGTGAAATCAAGTCTAAGCTGACTATGTGTCTCATAGTAGGTCTTCCATGGGGGCAGTTCCAGGGATGCTCAATCTCACCCATGTGGGTGATCAGTTTTCTCATTTCCTGCACATTCAGTGCAGTTCCAATCATCACCTGCAAGTAAAGGGGAAAACAAAAAATATTTTTTTTCTCCATATTGACAGCTGACACAGGTAACAGCAATACTTCAGCTACTAAAGCAAATACTGTGCAAGGCATCAAAAGCATTAAGACCTCTAAGATGAACAGTAGACAAAATAACAGCTAAGTATGTTGTAAGTGCACTAGTTTGAAATAAAATTAAAAAAACTAAAAAATTTTTTCCAAGTTACATTGGACAAAGTTACAGGGAACAAAATGAAGGATATTAGCAGTTGACACTCAGTAGTAAATAAACTTCCTCTGCAATATATAGATAGATACAGCCACCTAAAATACAACAGAAAATATGGTATTTCAAAGTAAGCATCGAGTGCTGTACTTACAGACTTCCTGCAGGCTCGAGAAGCGAACATCTGTCTGACCCTGGAGGGCCTACACATGACTCCAGGGCAGTCACTTAACATGAAGATCAGCTCATCTATGTCTTGTGGACCAAAAGTCCAGTTTTTGCTTGTTGGCAACGATATTAATTTAACTCTCTGAGTTACAGGAGCTGAAAGATTTGCAATAATTAATAAAAAAAAACCCCAAAGCATTACAGGAAATTACCTATTCTTGAGAGAAAAACTGAGAAACTGCTTTGATACATTAATATGATGTGACCTACCTATATGCAAAAGTTTAAGTTTAGTCTTTTGATCAATGTTATTAACTAACCATAGAGCTGATACCTTTCTAACATTAACAAAAAAAAAAAAAATTGCTTGTAAACTTGACAGCAGATAGATCTAAATTCTGACAAACCCTTCAATTTCCAAGGACAAATGGTTTATTAAGTTATTTTGAAGTTATGTGACTACAAAATAATTAAGGATTTTTGTTGATAAGAGATTGATAATTTGGATTTTAGGCAAAGATTGGAGATTCTGGAATATGGAAAAAGTCTGTAGTGACTTCCTTAACAGCATTAACCCTGTTGGGACCTGCAAGTGTTACTAATATAACAAAAGGACTTTCATGTAAGACATCCAGAAAATACACATCTAGCCACACAGTGAAACGGTGACTCCAAAGGGTGTACAGAAACTTCCATAAAAATCTGGTAAGATAAATACTCTACAATGTTCTGTTAAATAGTGCAAAGGAACCACAGAATCATAAGTCTTAAAAAATAAACAAACTATATACTATACTGCAAATTATTCCAAATTTTCTGATAACTACCCAAGGAGAATTTTACATAACAAATGAAACTGTTGAACTTTATTACTTCTGGTAATTCTGGCCCAAACTCACCATTTTCATTTATGACAAAATCAAACCCATTTTTTCTGAATATTTCCAGGTTTTCAATCAATACAGTTTCATTCACAGCTGTTAAATGGAGATTCTGAGGCCTGAAGGAGACATAAAAATATCATATTTTATAGGTACCTAATCCAGACCAATTAAGACAACTTTCAGAAGCAATCCAGATACTGATACAGAGATCTATTAAAATGTTTCACTCTGATTTATTTAAAAAATAGCCCTCCCTACTGAATAGGTGACTTCCAAGTGTTGTCATTTGGGCAGCAGTCCTTGCTGCAAAGGCAGCCTCCAATATCCTCACTGTGCGACTGTGCTTACCAAACCCTGGGTTGCCTCATAAACCACTGTGAAATCTCTTTGGCCACTGATTTGCTCCATAGCTACTGTTTATTTTTCATGTGGAGACCGACTCTTTAAAACGCAGAAAGACAACTTTTTTTTTCAGTGTTTTGAAAGTGTGAAGTGCTACATAAATATAATCATAGATACCCTTCAAAAACACTGAATTAAACTTTGTTACTTATTATTATTATTATTATTATTGTTGTTGTTAAAACACTGAAAGTACTTACGCTATCAGCTTCTGACCTTGAAGAACAGTGTGTTGTTGTAACATCTCAAAGTTGTACTTCTCATCAGTAGCATGTTGGTCGATTATGAAAAGATCAGAATTCAGCTTCACTATTATAAACCCTAAATTGAACTGGCCAATGATTTCCATTTTTGCAAACATTTCTTTACTGTATACAGAAAATAAAAACAGATTATAAATTATACTTCATCAGAGATCATGTTACATTGTAAAACTTAAGAATATCTTCTTCTCCCCTGAAGAACGTACTTTACGTTACAAGAAAAAAAAAAAAAACAAATCTCATCTAAGCAGGATATGAATGTGAAAAAGTAGTTATCTGGAATCTGCCAACAACTGATGAGGCCATTTCCAGCAGAACACAATCCATCATTAAGACAGGAATCATTCAGGATTCCCCCATTTTAAATACAGCCACTGGTGGTGATGAAATTATGAAGAGGCAGTACGGCAATGGTCCCAAACAAGTAACACCGAAGGTAGGCAGTTTTGAAGTCAGGTAGCTGACATATTTGCCTTCTTTTTTGCAATTACAAGGCTTTTCTAACATTTTCTAAAATCCAAAATTAATAAATCTATTATGTTTGTGGCCTTTCTAATGTCTTTTTCCACATTCTGTTTGCACTTAATTCAAAGAGCTGCTCTGTCAGGTAGAATAACTTGTCATACAGACATTTTAATGGCCTAAGTTAAATAAAAGACACATCCAAAACTAACAGTTAGATGTAAGCCTCCTGCCTACCCCCCAAGACAGGTCTTACATTTTTCCTTAACTGTTTTTATAAATTAACGAATACAATATGTTAAGAAGGTGAAAAATACCTGATTTCTTTTCTTAATTCATCTTCTGCTACTTTATTTTCTCCAGGACTGATTTTTGCTTTAAATCGTCTGTAATTTTGTGTTTCTGTACTCTTCTGTTGTTGCTGAATTATCTTTTTATATTTTTCTGCTAAAACCTGCATAGAAAATTCAATCGGCACGGTTTTCTTTTTAACTTCCACCAATACATCAACACTTGGCAGACAGTTCCTACTGTTCTTCACTTCAGGACATTTATCTGCCTTGAAGTCATCTGCTTCACTTTTAAAGCTTCTGCTTTTAAAACATTTTACTCGTTGGGAAGAACCACGGGCTGTTTGAGATAACTTATTTTGATTACTCCAGCCTTTCACTTGATTTAACTTATGTTCAGTGTCCAAGACCTGAACATCACATTCCAACAACTTCTCACTACATCCAACAGTTTCAAGACATTCATTTTGAAGTCGTTCTTCTGAGCTACAGAATTCTTCTTCAGGAGGATTAATTACACGTTCACTATTGACACAGCTCCCAGCTTCTGGTGTACTACATCCAGCATCCGACTCAGAAGTGCTACAGAATCCAGAATCTGCATTATCTTCTAATTTTCTCAAATATCTGCTTGGAATTGACATCTTGGAGTCAATCTTATGACCACTCTCAGACTTCTTAGTCAATCCAGCCTTTTGAGTCTTTATAGTACTCCAAGTGGTATCAAGTGGCATTTGTCTAGGGGTGCTGTGCTGCTGCTTTACCCTTTTAGGGCTTTGAAAATTACTCTCTGGCATTTGGTGAAGAGAGAATGACTCCCTTAATCTGGCAAGAGTCATTACTCTCTTTCCTTCACCACCTGGATTTTCAGTCTGAGAGTCAGACATTGTTTCTTCCTGAGGCTTTTCTGTATCTTCAGGAAGTGTCTTCTTCAAGTTGCCTAATAAAAACAGAATAAAGATTCTAAGTTACGGGGAAACATGAATGAGATTATGTATTTCACTAATGGAATGAAAAGAGAGGTATAAAACCAGCAAAATCCACAAAGGAGCCCTTATGCTTCAGCCAGCGATGAAGTATGGGGCTGAAACAAAATGACACCCAACAGACAAGCAGTTATATCTTTAAGAAACTGAATGGTACTTGTGTGAGTGAATTTGTCACCTCTTTTTAAACTGGAACAGCAATCAGTCCAATCAGCACGTTTATTTATATTATCAAAAGAGTTTAATGACTGAGTGACAATGAAAAGTGAATTGCTTTTACACGCTAATAGTCACTACAAAAGTCCACCGGCAAGCTGTTAAGGAGCTAGCACAGGAGATACTTGTAATAGAGGAGATTTGTAAGCAATTCGAGGATTCCAACCTCTTAAATTGTCAGTCCAACATGTATTTTACCAAAGATTAATTTAAAATTACAGTAAGAATCACGCTACAACTGATTCTATTCATCAGTAAAAAACAAAATTAGAAGAGGTTCTGTTGAAAGAAATGAGGATGAGCCTTTGTTGACACAAGAAAGTAATTTTGAAAGATTATAGAGTCAGAAGAGAATCAATAATTTCTGTAGTTCTCATAAAAGAATCAAAATTCAATAAATTTGTACTCAAATTTCAGATCTTATTTGAGACCTTAACCATTTTTTCTCAAGTTAAATAAAGGAAACGCAGATCTCTTCCAAAACACTGGAAGAAATTTTTTTCAAGCATTAACAATTAATTTGTTTGTTTTTTTTTTTCCCCCCATAAAGTTGACTGTCAATCATGTTGTGCTAGTATGCATAATTTCCATAACTTTGAGTCCTCCTTTATTATTTTATAACATTCAATATTCTATATTTTAAAAAAATTGATATTTTGTATTTGACATACATTCTATAACAATCTTTCAATGTAAGGAAAAGGTGAAACGTCTGCCCTGAAAGATATACCAATTAACAGCCAGGCATTTTTGGGGGGAGGGTTGAAAAGCGCATTTTCCCATTTTCAATTTTCAACCATTTATCGCACACAGAACTTTCACATTGTGTCCTACCTGCAATGTCCAGAAGTTTCTGATTGACATTCAGTTTGTTAACATCACTACCAAACATCTCCATCAGAGAAGTTTTTAAAATTGCTAGTAAAAGCTTTTCCTCCTGGAGTAAAATTTGCCTTTTGTCTGGAGTAACATTGATGTCAATACACTCTACGGAAGAAGAAAAGCCACCATATTACAAATGAAAAAGAAAAGAAAAATTCCACCCTTGGAAAGTTTTCTGCCCTTTCACTCTCAATTTTTAATTATTTATTTA